GGGGGGGGGGGGTCAAAGGTGCTGCATCTCTCTTGCGTACGTGTGAGTGGCATTCTGACACGACCCGCAGACCCATTGTAATTCAGATTTCCTCTGTCCAACGGTATTTGGGGACATTCTAGTGAGCATTCACTTGTTCGAGGTAAACTCGCTCTACATCTACACCTGTTGAACCAAACCAACTCACCACCCTTATACCTAAACCTCCAGACTTGCCACATTCTGTCCACAGAACTTCTTGTACGCGGAAATCTGCACTCGCGACAAGGTTATGACCTCTAGAGAGAAGCCGTGTTGCAGCTTCAGCAAAAGAGACTCAAATCGCGCTGTAGTAGGGTTCCCGAAAGCGACTAACCCGTGTTGAAATCGCAGCCAGCCAATTGCAGGGCGTAGATCTCGCATTCCTTTTTACTGAAGCTAAACACGATGATTGGCTCGAGGTTGCGCTGTTTCACCAAGCGTACCATCTTCACCACGTTATTCTCCGTTTCTGAAAGTGGAAAAATATGAACAAAGGAGCCTTTAAGAACAATTAAGATAGAGCGGAAGCAAATGTGCTGATTACTGGAGCCCATATCGTATGTATGCTTACGTGAGACATCTCATTGGCTAATACTAAAAACTCGGGCTAACCTTGGAATCCCTGAAACCTGATTCGGTAGAAGATCAGCGTGATATAGGGATCGCAAAACCGCCAAACTAATGCAAAATTAACAACACCAGAACGAAATTACGACGGTTCTAGGAGCCAAACTCACTTCTGCTCACGGGCCCAGGTCGACCACGACTGGTGCTTGCAGTTCCAATTTCGCCTGGTTTAGAGAGGGTTCTCATGGCCTTGCGAAAATTTTCCTCCAAATATTTGCCCTACAGAGTTAAGAAAATAAGAACAATCCCGACACCAACACAATTTCCACCAATGATCATAAACCATTATGTACGTTTGCTGAAGTAAGGAGTTCCATTGGCTAATATCAAAAACTCGGACTGACCGCCAAATTCCTGAAACCTGATTGGACAGAAACGTGCGCCGTTTGGTTTTTAATGGCTCTGAATTAAAAAAAAACCTATCCGAAAATGACACAGAAGGCAGTGGAAACGGCAACCTCACTCGGGAAATCTCATTAAAATTGCTAATGCTGCCACATCACAAACTATGTGAACCAACTGTAGCAAGGGGATGTGGGTATCAAATTCGGCAAAAATAAGTCCTAGAAGCGAAGACACACGAAATTGAATATTCTGAAAGACGATGTGACGCCACGCAGTCAAATTTTATGACCTGCGATACAGATAAATGCGCGTGGAGCTTGTCAAGGACCGAGTTGGGACTATTGCAGCCATTCTACCCTCTTGTACCCATTTGGTCACTAGACACGATGCTACGCGTCAAGAGTTACATCCTACATTCGATGGACCTTTCAAGGTACTCAGCTATCAACCTTTGCGATGCACTTTTATGCTAACTTATCATTAGATTTTAGGACATCCAGGAAGCAGTAGAGGTTTGTATGACTAATCAGTACGCAAAAAAAATTCAAAAGGCCTCAGACCATCCGCATTCATTGATCTGGTTGCTCCGTTCCACAGCACACTGCCTCTTTTTCACAGCATGCCGTCAGAGATAGAGAACCTCGACCTACACAAGATTATCGCGAATGTTTATCCTGGATTACCACTACGTACACTAGCATACCTCAGCTTTGATGTTGGTACATCTACGACATACTGCTTAACAAATCTTGGTTGTAAATACACGCGCGCACATGCCAGTTGTGCCTCTGGCATCTCTGGTCCACTTGATCTTCGGACCAGTTCAACGCAGCGGCCTGGTCTTGGTTTAGGACCACATGAAGGAGCCTTCAACACCACAAAGACACCCACTTCGTCAAGTACCAAGTAGAGACCGTCGCTGCCAAGGGGGTAGAGGTAGTGGCGCAGCGGCACGGGACGAGCTTCAGAGCTGACGACGTGACACGGTTGGTCGTGCAGAAAGGCGATCCACTCGGCAAACTGGCGAGCATTAGGGGTGGTGGCGGAGAGGAAGACGTAGCGCACCGAGTCGGGCAGAAGGACTAGGGTCTCCTCCCAAACCACGCCGCGTTCTGGGTCACGCATGTAGTGAATCTCATCAAACACCACCCAGCCGACCTCACGCATTATGGATGAGCCACTAAAATTTACAAAAAGGACGCCGTTTCTTGATGCAAAATGTCGACGGTTGCGAATTTAGGCGACAAGCACGGTATTTCTACAATCAAGCGCAGTCATCAATTACGAAGACGAGAGTGGGGACGGAAACGACTGCTAGTTGCATCGCAATTATCGGCTCGTAGTGATTGAACCAGAATGATTTTAAAGGTGATATCAACGTTTTGACCAGTAAATGGAGTGCGGTGTTAACGAAATACACAAAAAGGGTAAAAAAATTACCGATAAAGCATTGACTGCAAGATTTCCGTGGTCATGATAAGGACGCTAGCGTTCATGTTAATTGTGGCATCACCTGTGAGAAGGCCAACCTCTGGGAACTCCTCTGAAAACTCGCGATACTTCTGGTTGCTAAGTGCCTTTATAGGAGTTGTGTAAACAACGCGCTGCTTTTCCTGAAGAGCTTTGGCAATGGCGTACCTAGAAATAGACAAATGAGTGGTTTAGCCATCTCAAGAAAGACTAGATGGCAGCGTTCATTCACATTGAGCGAAGTAATAAACTAAATATTAATAAACCCAAAGTTTTGAATGTTTTCTGGCACACAAGCAGAAGTGAAAAAAAAACACTTGCTCCGGGGGAAAAAACAACTACCAACGAAGAAGTGTTTAGTGGAATGGTTGCATTCCGGAAAAGTGATCGATTCTACCACAGCTAATGATAAAAGCACCAGCATAAAAATAAGGTGCAGAGCATAGTAATGAATTACGCACTCGGCAACTACGGTCTTGCCAGCAGATGTATGAGCCGACACCATTACTGATTGATTATTGTCTATGCATAGAATTGCCTGCTGCTGGAAAGGATCCAATGTGAAAGGGTACGTCCGCGCTTTTGGACCGGGAGATTCTTCTAGTTTTTTGAATGTGGCATCTGGTGGATAGGCGACCTAAGCAATCGGAATTAGCTAAAAGTTAGCACAAGCCTCATGATTGCATGCATTGGGGGCTGGGATCTTGTACACCTTGATACGTGGGGACTTGGTCAGAATAGACTCCATCATCGAAGAAATTTTGGCCCTTTTCGATGAAGAACCAAGTTCACTATCTTCATTAACTTTAATGTGGTCCCTCAAACTTTGTTCAGCTCTGGAAAATATATAATATTCACAAATTACTTTCTCTTCTTTTCTTCGAAATCATGACTGACTTCAATGGATTCCTTTGGTTTCGACGGCTCAATTTTGATTTCCTTCGAGTCGCCATCATCGAAAACAGACGTTAATTCTTCAATATCAAGACCGAAAAGATCTGACATGACGAGCACAAAACGCGAAAAATCATCCAATCGCATGCAGAGTTTTGGAACGTTGTCAGATAATCAAAAGGTCGGTGACATTTAAGGTGACTAAAACAGGTAAATTGTCTTTAGGAGTCTTTAAATTTACTTACAGTAGCTTCTAGCTTAACGTTTTACCTCAAGTACCAACCACGACTTAAACTAATTAGTCCATTAATTAAAGTTGTTGTTTTGATTTCACCGGACTGTTTGCCACAAGCAAAAAACGTTATCTACTGGCAGGTTATTCTATAGTGTAGGGACATTAAATTCCTTCGTAGGTACATATCCATACATCATTGTATATGATGCAGCAAACAATTTTCTCATAGTAATGACAATGTTTCATAATCAATATCTGGTCTGTACATATGTGCGGAAACTTTAATGTATTTTTCAAGTTCTAAATCGATGGCGAAAAATGCTGCCGTGCTTAAGTGGGAAACCTTTGAAATTTCTTTTTTTAATCATTTTGAAAGGTTTTGCTCTGAAATGTTTTTTTTAGGAGTATTAATCAGTGCAACAAATTTCTTACTCTGAATCTAATCTATTGTGGTGGAATTAATTTTTATAGTATATGTCAATGAAATTAAATTAGATTCTAAAGTATGATCTCAATGGTAATGTGTAAAACGTCTCTTTGCATTGAATTGAATTAGCTATAAAAATTTAATTTTTTTCTCTGTATTTACCCTTAAACGCCTGTATCGATCGTCTCTCCTCTTAGGCTAGCATTCTTGGCTTTTTTCTAGGACTTTGTCGGCCTACTGAAAAAATCTGCTGAACCTTAAAGTTCAATAATAAAACTATTTGAATGAAGTGTTTCAAAATTTCCTGAATCGGAAATTACAACTCTCAATAAATTTATATGCTGCTCGTTTAACCATGACTTTCTAACTATTTTTTTTTTATAGAGAAATGCTGGGTGCTATTTGAGCCTTGGATTCTTTAAACAATTGGTGTGTTTAGTGAAGTCAGAGGAGGTATCCCCCATATGATTTGTTCTGATCTATTGTAACTTAATTTATTCTGGTATTTCTAAAATATATGTGATTTACTAGTTTTTATTGGTGTCAAGTATGATAGAATAGGGCAAATACAATCTGTTTTTAATTACTGTCACGCTCCCCACCACATTTTAAACCACTAGAGTATTTATAGTGCTCATAATCTTTTTTAGATGTAAAATATTATTTAAATAACTTGCGGTTGCTGCATTTCGAGGTCACCAAATTATCAAACACACTTTTTTGAAATTGTGTATATTGTATTATGGGTTAAGGTTAATAGTGTTGCGAAAATGTAATTTTGATTTTACATGCGGCATCAAGAAGCTGAGCACCGCAATTTAACGATCTGAACGGGATCATATCGTGCCCCGATATTTGGCGACTAGTTTACTCACAAGCTGGCAATACATTTCTGTCAAAATACTGCAATTATTACTCCTGCCATGTTTATGATTACACAACCTAAACCGACTTAACTCATTTAACGCCGTTTTTCACTGAAACCAGTTATAAATTACTGACTTACGACGCACCTAAATTCCTTACGCGAGATTTGCGGCAGATCTCAAACTTCGGCGCTTTAAAAGACAATTTTATGAGTAAAATTCCATAAGAATTTAGGCACCAAAACAATTAACCAAATGCGCGTTGAGCACATTATGCCTCCGATGATCTTTGTAAGTCAATTGGTGGTTTGAGAGAATGACATTTGTGCGGGTTTGTGTCAATTGTCATGCCTTGAACCTGCCATCAGAAATCTAAACTAATTTCCCATCAGTCAGTTGTGTGTGCGTGCCTTAAATCATGCCTGAATGACTTGGGTTACGTTTTCGTCACAAAACACTCTAATCTGTCTCTTGCGCATTCTTAAATATTTTCTATGTTACAATTACGATGTGACACGTTCATATCCATGTGTTTAAAAAATACTTGCCAATAAGAACATCAAGGTTTAACGCGTTTTTTAATGCGCTAGTATTGGAAGAGATGGCTAATGTCCTTCACATATTTGTGTCATTCTAGATGGGATTATCCGTAAAATGCAAACTATTTCTTTATTCTTCACTATCTCAATCAGGTACATGATTACGCCGATGTGCATCTGCTTGAGATAAGGTGATTTGAGTTACCAACCATTTAAAACCAGGGTGCGACAGTTGTCAATGCACCATTAAATTCACAGCAAATCAGTCGATCTTCCGAACTCGGACTCACCGCGTCATGATCGATTACTCTGGGATTGAAACAAGAACATTTTGCCCCATTTTCACTGTCCACTTTTTGATCGATGAAAATCGACCCTTGTTTTCATCTTCTGGTGTGATTAAATTGAAAATAACCTCGGTTTTATTTTATTTAGAAAGCATTTTGCCATATCCTTCTGTTATATAAAAAAAAATCCTTAATTGAGTGAGTAAAACAATCAAATCCATAAAGGCGAATCCACGTGTTGGACCTACCCGGGTTATGGTTGCGTGCCACGTGTGATAAACACACGTCATGCTTACATGACCTTGAGTGCTGCCACGTACAGCAATTTCATTGGCTGGTTGAAACAGTACCGTGGCATGTTTGATTGGTTTAATAAATGAAGTTATCTTTTGAATGAGCCCATGCTGTGACAAAAATTGAAAAAAATTCCCAAACTACACAGCTATGGCTGAGCGAAATTGGCTCTGTTAGCGACATTTAGAATTTCCCAGCATGCATTAACGAAACACGTGTTGATATTAGGTTCTAGTTCAATGCGACAGCAATTAGATGTAGCTCAATCAATTATGCGCCAAAATCTAGTCTCCCTGACGCGTTTGGGACAGCTGCTTTCAGAGTGTCATGGAGATTAACTTTAAAAATAACCCAGGATTTAGTGCCTCCGATCATTCAATCGGGCTTCAATAGGCGTCTAAGGTTGTATATACTGAGCAAAGTTCAGAAAATTAAGAACGTCTGAGGAGTTATTTGATGTTAATTGGTCTTGAAGGATTTGAAGCAGCTCCTAACCATGTCAAAACTGGTTGCTCTAAGGTGATGTGGTGCGCTGTCGCAGCCAAAGTAGCCCGATTAGAGGGCGCGCGAGGTCAGGATGCTGAAATGACCTTGCTTACACAACGTGGCAACGACAACACACCGCATGAATCCTTGCTATATCGTGTAATTGAGTCGTTAACTGCTCCTCTGCTGCAGCACCACAGTCATCTGCTATGGTTCTGCTTCTGAATTGGCCAAATTTTTTATGGTGTCCTGTTACGTTTGCCCGTAACAAAGAGGAAACCACTCAAATAACGGTACCAGATCTCTTGCTAAAGCTAGAACCGACCTTCCCAGGCTCATACAAGAACAAGACCAGAGCTCGTGTAGAGAGCTTTATCTACGTCAGCCACATGCAGAGAGGAGTCGAAAGGGAAAACTAATTCAAGTCAGGGTTGACCTTGACTTGATAAAAAGCGTAACAAAACACGTTATTGAACTAATGTAAATAGCATCAGAAACCAATCTTGGGGAATCGGGGATCCCCAACACATCCTCATTTTCTGGGCAGTTCAAGGCAGTCGCTGAGGCTGGTGACCTGAGACCACCCACTACAAGGTGGTTTCGTTGTGAGGTGGTGAATTACACAGTTTCCCATGTGGGAAGCCCTTTTTCAGAGAATTACAGGTCTACACTTTTGAATTCTTCACTAAGTGGGACAAACAGATTTGACCAATCAAATTTTACTGAACTTGTTATCTACCACTGCTTAGGGTCGTGCAATAGTGATAACGATGTCGTTTCCTCAATCTCACAGATTGGCAAAATCATTCTATCTTAAGCCACTGTCCAGGTCGATTCTGTTCCCCTGTGCCGGCCGCAGTCACGAGGTCGACGTTGCCGAGAAATCTTGGGTTCTTCTATGTATCCTTTAGTAGGCTCTAATTATCATCCTGCCTACCCGAAACCATCTCCACAACCTAGGCCTGTGACTGGCGAAAAAGAGGTTATTTTAATATTGCTTAATAAGACATGCCAAAGTGTGACTTGGCCTTAGGAAAAATCATCCGACCGGGCTAGTTTAAGGCTAGAGGAAGCCGCATATTCTAAAAAAAAACAAATTCTGCGCTCTGAAAGAGGTCTTTGACAAGACGGAGGGTTAATGCAAAACGAGCTGGACATTGCCCAACTTAGCCAACTTCAAAATGCCCGCGGCTTGCCAATTTCCAGGCCGGTTAGTGAGTCACGCAGACCAGATTTGAGCTCATTTCTTGCACTCCGATTGGCTGCCGTCCTGTTCCATCGCAAAAGCAACATTGCTAACTGACCAATAGGATGAAAATGCCTTCCAGCACTAAATGATGTGTATTCCGTTGGCTGGGGCTTTGATAGATACGACAGACGAAACTCGAGTTCGTCGTGTCTTGTCAAGATAAACTATAATTTGCACTAAAGTAAATTTCGCGGAACGAAATTGAGCGTATTTAAACACACACCTAACACTTGGGCAACAAGGCGTGATAAGATGTCCAGCGTGTCACTTAGAGAATTTGCAACGGTCTTGGTCCTGAGGTTCTTGATTGAATGATTTGCGTTGCGTGGCTTTGGTTTCCATAATCTCCGTTGGACACTACTGGGCCTCATTTTGAATAAGTGGTTTCTGTCAAATAAGTCGATATTTCAGTCTCTGGTCTCCAACTGGAACTAGCAAAGCCCTAGGTGCATTAGGCATCAAGATGCCTTCGCGAATTCACAAAATCTAAAGATCATTAGCATCGGAATTTTTACGGGATGCTGACATCACACAATCAACGACTTGCTCCAATGCAACATCTATCTTGATAGCTGCGCCATACGAACGTCGACGACTCAGCTCAGGCTCGATGTCTAGACGGTGTCCTCGGTTATTGACATCGCTGAAGCCCAGGAACACCGAAGCTGCGGTGAAATGACAGCACTGGGTGGCCAACAAAACCACATTATTAGTCCACATGACTCATGTAATGATAAATGGAAATGTGTGCCTGAACTATTACAAATTTACTGTGTGTGTATGTGACTAACTGTCAAAAGAGTAATGAGATTATTAGTGAACTGAATTTTGTGGGCGAGGGGCTGAAGTCAAGTCCAGGATCAAGTTCATCGATTCTGGAAAACCTGGACGGACCATGGCTCTTTTCTTAATCAATCAGCATTCGCACCTGACACGACACAGCCTCTTCATTCACCTGATGCCGAATTTGCCACAACGCTCCAACCAAGCATTGTCACAACCACATGAGGCAATTGTGGTGGACGGATTCTTCCACAGATTCAGGTGAACAAATCGACCTGA